GGAGGCAAAAGGCAGAGATCATCATGACCAGGATTGCAAGTGTGCGGAAATGGGATGAGAATCTACCCATGATGGATGCAGGGACTTACTTTAAATGCTGAGTAGCCACTGGTTGCGAAGGGCCTTAATATCAGTCTTTGTCTTTTGACATATGGCATTTTTAAATGTAGATTTGTAGACACACATGCACATCCACACATGCATACACACACACACACATATACACACGGAGATCAAATAATGAATAAAACAATATAAATATCAACTAAAGAATCACCTTCAGCATCAAAATTAAGACACCTTCATTAACATTGTTCCATCTTTATGTCTTGGCACACATATAGATTCATAAATAGAGGAAGTATGAATAGCTTTACAAAAATCAGAAAGATTGTTCTTTCTCCAGTCTTAAAATTTTAGTTCTATTATTTATTTCCTCCCTAAGGTACATAAGATTAATCAGTCTTTTCTACTTCATCGAATACCATGTCTTGGTATTGTGTATCTTTTGTGTTTTGTTTTTTATTTTACTTTATTTATTTATTTATTTATTTATTTATTTTACATTGTTGATGCTTAATGGCTCCATCTTGTCCTGGGACAATGTCTCTGGTATTCAATTTTTACCAGCATTGTATCGAAATGTAGTTTGTGCTCCCTACCTACAGCCCACTGTGTGGCCTTGCAGTCCCAAATCCTGTTTTGATTCTTCTCTACTTTGCTTCAGTTCTGCTCCTCAAAGTCTATAATAATGAGGATGTAGCAAGGGTACCATTGTGTTATCCTATGTGGTCTTCTGTGGTGGGTCGTGTGATTAGGTATACTATTCTTGGATCTGTTTTATAGCCATTGCTTCATGGCCTTCTAGACTGGGGTCATGCAGAACTTTAAGAAGGAATTGTTTTTTCCTTGTGATGAATTATTTGTTTGGATGTTAAAAAAAAATCTTCCTATTTTCCTCTGAACTAGGATGCTTTCCATAGTTGCTTTGCCCTCTTTTCATCTTGCTCGGATAGTGCTTTTCAAACATTCTGCCTTTTCCAATAAAATATTGGTGACTCTTGGCTTCCTTGCTTTGTCTGAGACCAGAATGTTTCCATTCGCAGGCTGTGGTCTGAGAGCTGGGTGTTAAGGCTTCATTTTGTTTGTCTTCAATGAGGAGACAACCAATGCTGTACAGTTTTTTGGAGGAGGTCTTGTTTTGCTTTTAACATTTTGTTATATTGCATTCATCAGATTTATATAACTGTGTGTATGTGTGCACACTCATGCTCCTGTTGGTGAGTGCCTGCGTGTGTGTGCATGTGCATGTCTGTGTATGTGTGTGCCTGATTTATGTGTACTGTTCATGCGTACATTTACGTGTTTGTGTGCTTCCATGTGTATGTCTGTGTGTCCATGTCCGTGCATGTGTGTGTGTATGTGCGTGCATGTAACCATGTGTGTGTGTCTGTGTGTGTATGTCTGTATGTGTCCGTGTGTGTCTGTGTGTGTTTAATGGGTAGAGTCAGTGATTCCTAGCTCCTCTTGATCCAGAACTCTGCTGCTTTCTTAGCTATCTGAGTTATTCCACAGAGTTAAACTCTGCTTCTTTCTGTTTCTGTTCTGCCTTTGTTATAATGATTTTTCTCATTTTTAAATGTATTCTGCAAGGCACTGTTTAAATCTTCCTTTACTTTTTTAACCTGAGATCCTTACAATGTTTTGACCCAAGGTCAGCAGGTTGTTTCTTCTCCCTTCGAAGGTGTCTGTTATGCCTGTGGGGAGATTGTCTGGAAGAGCTCTCAGCTCCTTAGGAGGGTGTTTGGATGAACCCCAACTGTCCTTTCTTTTTCACCTCCCATTTATAAGCTGAATAATGAGCAACACCCACAACTCACTAACTTTCTTTTTATTGGGAAAATCTTATCTTTTTCTCTTGACTTATTTTTTTCTTGCATGGATTTTTTATATATATGTAAAACCAAAGAGAGTGAGAACATTCAGAAAAGATGTGCTATCTAGATTGTTAACAAAGCAAAGCAAAGCAAAGCAAAGCAAAGCAAAGCAAAGCAAAGCAAAGCAAAGCAAAGCAAAGCAAAGCAAGAACAGTGTCTTTGATGTTTCAAATGCAAAACCTAACAAACGTGAAACAACTAAAGTAGACTGTCCATGGCATGTGAGGGTGTTTGCCATTCCAAAAGCAGGTAGGACGAGAAGACATCAGCATCCTACTGTATGTCCTAATGCTACTCTTTGATTTAGGTGACCTTCCCCCTATGGATAAACAGCATTCACAGGTGAGAACAATGAAATATGACATTCAATCTGATTGTCCTGTTGTACACCTTGCTGCTGGTAGAGAGTTTTGTATGATGGATCTGTCTCAGCATTGCGGTGGAAGTAACCTGACAACTGCATGGAAGGATAGAATGAGCATCTGATGATCTCTTCTTCCTGCCATTATGTGGACAGTTCCATGTGTGAATTCTTTTCAGTAAACATTCTTTTGACATTATACATGCTTTACAAGAAAAAAAATGCATATAAAGTGTTGTGGTTTTGCTGCTTAGTGATCTGAGTAAGGTCGAGAGAGTCTGACAGACTCACCTCAAGTTTATCTTTTATACAGCTCCGCCAGCTGTCTCCTCTCGCTAAGTATCCAGGCTCAGGGCAGTGAGGAAGCTCTGTGAACCACAGGGTCTATGGGATGCACTGCTGGTTGAGTGGAGGATTTATGCGGACAAGTATGGTGCCAGTCTTGACCATATGCTCTGCCGTTACCATTCATTCCATCACACTTCTTAAAGAGTTGGCTTTACTTGTGGTCTCAGAAAAAACTGTGAGTCACTTCATATGTAGTGTGTGTGATGACATGCCACATACAGGGGTGAGGACATTTCAAGTGTGGCTTTCACACTGTAAGGTAGCTTTAAACAGAAAGTTACTGTGCTTGGTGTTTGCTTTGAGTTTATATCAGCGCACTGTTTTTCAGCATTCATACTCCTCATTACACTCAAGACCTGTATCTCTAACTCTGAGAATCCATTCAAAATGCAAACTCTCAGACCCTCAACTCAAACCTATCGAATCAGAACTGGCAGTTTCACAAAATTTCACAGATATTCATGAACATCAACAGTTGCTGTTACTGTGTGTGCTGATGTAGGTGATACTTTCTACATGGAGAATGCTATAATCTGCAAGAGAAATGTGGATATAAATAGTCTCTAAACCCATAAAACTGATGCTCCCAACTCACATGAAAATTCTGCAGAGCTAAGGATGTGATAGCTCATGCCTGGAATCACCTAACTCAGGAGGGTGATGTATGCTGGCCAGTATTTTGAGGCCAGCCTGGCTCCAAAATGAATTCTAAAGCATTTTTTGAGCTACAGAGTAAATCATAGTATCAAAGGGGGAACATGGTGATTCAAAAACTACACCCAAATACCTGTTGGGTTTCATTTTCTTTTCCTTATAGGTTGGTGAAAATGTGAAGAGATGGTAATCTCTATATTGGGCATGGCCAAGAAATTGATGCTGGAGTTTCTAGGAGTTAGGATTTGGGTGGGAATAATCTCTGGAAATAGTTGAAATCGTGGCCTTTAACAGATACGTACACCCTATGCTCCTGGCAGAATAATTCAAAATAGACTGAAAGTTGAAACAATTCCAAGTGTCCATCCACGGCTGAATCCATAGAGAAATGGTATACATAGGCATGGTGATGCTATTCAGTGTTACAAAGTAGTTTTTTGGACTTGAGCTGGTAGATTCAGATGTTGAGAGCTGAATGATTCTGGGGAGCTCTCAGTTTCACAGTGGAGTGTCTCGCTGATGGCTTCTTAATTTAATAAAATTATTGGGAAGAGATGAAAACTGGGCAGTGGGACTTGGTTGGAGAAAGTAGGTCAAGGGGTCATGGTCACATAGGGTGTGTCTGATGCTCACAGATTTGCTCTTAGTCTGTATCCCTACTGCTATGATTACACCCACTCCCTATCACATCTCACCATCACAATATTCCGGCTCATTTCAAGCCCAAAGTGCTGCCTTCAGTTGACCCTCATGGCAGTGAGGAAGCTAATCCAGTCACATTATCTTGAAACTCTGAAGCAAACAGAGTCTTTGCTCTTGTTCGTTGTTTTATATATTTGCCACAGCCATGAAAACCTAGTAAAAAAAATAGAATTCTGGAAATTTCTAGTATGTGGATGAATTTGAAGTCATTAGGTTAATGGGCCAAAATATATGATTCTACAAACATGAAGTCCCTAAAAAGAGCTAATGTATAGAATGGAGTCTAGCAGGGACTGTTGTTTGATGACTACAGAATTGCTACTTGGGATGCCAAAATGGTGCTGTATACAAACAGAAGTTACGGTTACACAGCATTGCATACTACTCATTGCACTGAGTCTAACACTTTAAATAGTTAAAATGGTATGTTTATATGATTTTTCGTACAAAACAATAATGTGTCTACACAAAGCCTTGCTACACAGTGACAGCAGAAATTATACTCATCCAGATTTCTCTGACATGATATTGCTTGAAGAAAGTCATGTGTAAAATAATAGACAGCATTAAAAGTAGGAATCTCATTTATATAAAATACAGCAAGACAAAAGCCAAACAAGTATATAAGGAGTGCAACTAAACTGATTAAAGTAATAAGTAAAAAAAGAAAGCAAAGAAGCCTTATTATAAATGGTAGGTGTGTTAGTTCATGTTTTGTTGCTGTAATAAAAATGCTTGAGACAATCTGAAGTAGAAAAAAATGATGGTCATTTAGCTTACCATTCTGGTAGCTGCAAAATCTTGATAGCATGGGGCTGGACACTTTGCAAAACATGGCGGAAAGATGGAGAAGTTACCAGCCACATATAGTAAAGGCTAAGTGTGTTGGGTAGGCTCACTTTGATATCCTCTACTGGGAGTTAACACACTCTATAAATGTGCTAATGTCAGGTGAGGATGCTGTTTCCAGTGATATAATTACCTTCTACTTTGTAAAGGTTCCACTGCTCCATCCTGCCACCCAGACAAGCAAGTGCCCCGCAATCCATGTCCACTGTAGCAATCGGTTTATGCCTTTCTCTAGTGAGGATCAGGTGAGCACCAAGAGCACACAAGATGGTGCCTTGGAGAGGCTGTTGAACCCTGTAATGATCTTGATGGATTTTATGTGTGTGAAGTATACCTCACAGCATTTTTTTAGTAGAAATAAACTTATTCCATGAGGTTGGTAATGGGAGCGTGGGCATAACAGGGATTCTTTTAACCTTAAGCTGTTATCAAGTTTGTTAAGCCTCTAATTTCCACTGTATTTAAAATTTCACTTAAAATTACCATACCAGGAGATCATCAAATTATCTGTACTAGATTACTGTAGGATATTTTGATTTTGTCTTCAGTTCATATAAAGAGCCCAGAAAATACAAGTGTTTGTTTTGCATAAATGTCAAAATGATTGCGTTATAAATACCACTACCAAATTTACTTTGTCCCCAGAATCCCTCACTGGTTATTAGGTTGCACTTTGATACTCTACTTTTTTGGCTGAGAGAAAGGAGTGTGAAATGTTTAATTATTAGAAATAAAAAGGAAAAGAAAAACTGAATAATTTTTCAAATTAGAATCCGTTTGGTTAAAGTGTAGATGAAAGCAGACATCATCTCTGCCGAGGGGCCTCCTAGCAGCTAAGTTAACTTTCCTTTTCAAATCATACCTTAAATTTCTAGGTAATAATTCTGTTCTAGAAACAGATAAGAAAGTATGAATCACCGTGCAAGGTCAGGTGCCTGTAGGTACCCCTGGCCCATTGGGTGACTTCTTCTTTCCCCGCATGCCTGTCTTGCTTAGATTATCACCTTCAAGAAGTCAGGAAAGCTCAAAAACTCATGTGAGAGTCATGGAATTTCAAATAGGGTAAGAATTTGAATAGATGTTGTTACAATGTTCCTTTAAAATTTTGTTTATCTCCCAAAGCAGTGTCATGCTGAGGAGTCTGTGCTTCTGAACTTGAAGGCTTTTTCTCTTGGGGACAGTTGATTTTTGGGGATCTCATAGCCAGTAGTTGAGCAACTATTCTTTGTTATGATCGTTAGGCCTTTAGTATGTGTATAAAAGGATGCTGTCATGCAAGCCAGCCTCAATAGCTTTTAGAACTGTTGCTCTGTACTTCTCTTTTCCATTTGGACTATTGTTTGAATAATTTATTCTTAATCATTTAAAATAGGAAGGCACATTTTAGAGTGTTTAACCTTGCATCTGATGTCTTTAACATGCCTTCCAGGGTTCAGGGATCTATGCAGAACAGGGGTCAGAAAGCTTGTAAGAGCCAGAGGTTTTAGATGATTTTAAAGAAACAGCATTTTCCAGAAACAGTAGGGCAGCTGCACAGATGAACTCTGTAAAGTGTGCAAATGGGCACAAAATCTCACCCCTAGCCAAGAAATTATTTGCAAATGATAGCGTTTGGGAAAAGGAAAAATCTGTTTACTTCAATGGAGTGTCACTGGGCATATCAACCACACTGCTTGTGCAGGGGAAGTTGGACTCACTTTTTTAGTATCTTTTTTCATGTTTTTTAAGAGAGTGAAAGAACATGAGGTTGAATTGATAGGGAGTGGATAGGCTCTGGAAGGGGTTGAGGGACAGAGAAGAATACGATAACATACTGTACTAAATTTTTGAAAATAAATACAGAAGAAAATATAAACTCAGTGAGCTCTATTTTGTAATTAATTCAACAGTAAATATCAGATTTTTTTTCTTTTTTGTGAGGTAAGGAAGGGATACATGGTTGCTTTGTGTAGCCTTGGCTCTTCTGTATCTTGCTCTGTGGACCAGGCTGGATTAGAACACACAAAGATGTGCCTGCCTCTGGATTAAAGTGTGTGCTGGGATTAAAGTGCACTACGACTGTCTCACTAAACTCTGACTTCTTCAAGTGAAAAGAAAATATAAGTTTTTGTTTCATTATCTCTTCAGATTTCCACGATCGTTTTCCTAATTGGCCTTTGTGCACCAGAAACAAAGAAGGTGCAGACAGCTCAGCTAAAAGCTTTCTATCTGCCTGTTCGTCATTTTGTGATTTCTACCCAAAATATTCACCAATGTGTAGGTAGAATGCATAGAATATATCCCCTAATACTATTTCCTAAGTGTGCTATACTTGAATTATTTTCTTTTACTTCCCTGCTGATTTTTCTTTAAGAAAAGCAGAAGAAAGGGAAGCATCAGAAGAGTACAGACAAATCTTATTGTCCAGCTCTTCTTTGTGTTTAAAAATAATCACACAGAGGAGAAGCAACATGTTAGCCAAGACGCTTGTAGATTGTGTCTGTGGTCATAGTGGTTTTAACATTTTGGTGAATTATTTTTACTGCAAGCCTCACAGTTGGGTTTTGTCCCAACAAGTTTCAGTTAAATGTCTTATTATTTCCTTTAATCATATTTTCTCCTGTGAAGTTAATAAAACATCACTATTGATGGTTTGTTGGAAGGAGGCTGTTAGGTATGACTCTATCTCCTGCAACATCGGTCATGTGGCATTCCATGCAACTCTGAGCTACATTGGGGAGAGCAGCTATGGTGCCTGTGATTTGGGGACTGGCCTCTTTATGCTATGCTGGTGTCCTCAAACTTAGCTTTTACCACATGATCCAAGATGGTTGATTCAGCTCCAGCTTCATAGTCACTTACCAGCAAGAAGCAGAGAGAGAGAAAGGGATTCTACATATTGCCAGAGGTCAGGCGTATCACCCAACACAATTCCACTAGCCTGGCTTAGTCACACAAAAGGGTACTGGGAAATTTCATCTCAATTTTATAGTCTTGCACCTAGCTAAAATTGCAAGTTCAGTTAGTACAGGAAGAACAGAGGGTGGGTATTGGAGGCTATCTGACAATCTGACACAATATACAAAACTCTAAAGAAAAATAAATGTCATTCATAAATCTTCCATTTTTGAGTTTGGAATACTTCCTCCCATTACTTAATTGCAGAACAGAATTATGCTATATGATGTTTATTACTGTCATTCTTTAATTTAGTAAGATACCCTAAACATTTCCTTTATTATTTAAGGTCCATCAAAATACTACTTTAACAGCTGCATAGTATTATATACTAGGGGTATACATGCACATAATATATTTCACCAAATTCATATTTTTCAGTATTTAGATTTTTTGTAATTGTTTTAGACACATTGGTGTTTATAAATATTTTTGATGAATGTCTAAGGTGTTTAACTTGGAGCTACAATAAATATTATAAATTTTTATTATGTTTTCTAAAATGAGCTATCAGAAAAGAACATACCAAGTTATACCCCAAATTTATGTATAAAGATACTCACCATATGTACTCTCCCCATGATTTGACATTTTGGTATGGATTATTGTTTGAAAGTTAACACTGATTTCCTATTATTATTTCCTGTCTGCTTTGTTATGATCACCGTAGGACCTTCAAAACAAGTTCTTGGTAATTTGTCCATCTAGCTTAAGATTTCTCCATATGACGTCAGTCTATTTTAGTAATGGAGTTCTGAAAAGTCTATGATGAGGAGACAGTTCATCTTTAAATATCTTTACTTACTTAGAGGAAGCCTTTTGTTTCTTAAACAAACATTAACATTCCTAGAAGTTGTATCTGCTAATACATATGGAGCAAATACTTACCTTTACCTAGTTGGGAATCCATACCTTGCTTGCATGAGTGGAGATTTGACAATGGAACAGACAGCTCATTACCACCCATTAGGGCCCTACTGCTCAGTGCTGGCCTCGGCTTCTTTTAAGCAGATCTTTCTCATTTGGGCCTTGTTTCTTAGATTTGCTACGACAGGGTTCTTTGTTACTGTCATTTCCCATCAAAACACTTTCTCTATAGTCTGCATGAGGAAGGAGTCTTAACAACACTGGAATTTTATGTCTTTGGAAGACATTGTGATTTTTCCCCCTATCATGCCAAGGATGTTTTCCCTCCTCTTGGAATATGAAAAAGCTTGATTCTGTATATGACTAAAAGATACTGACAAAAGATTCTGGAATCCAGGGAAGTATTTTCACACCACAGACTTGCCACAGTTCCTTGAACTCTGCTCATGCCTCTTGTTTCTGTGGTCTCTGGTCTCTTGCTCTAGGCTGTTGGTGGGGGCTACTTGTCTCTTTTGCCTGTTCATCCTGGGTCAGTCTAACAGGCTTGCTCCTCGAACTGGTGCTTTGCTTTTGCTTTTTATATTTGGCTAGTTATGTGTGCACTTTCTAATAAATGTGTTAATTTTGCTGAGGTGTTTTTCGTTCTCTCCTTTGCTAGCCTAGCCTGCCCAGCCCTTGTCTTCTCTTTATACCCTACTCTCTATTTTTTCCTCTTCTCCCATTCTTATATTCTCTTTGTTTACAGAGTCGCTACTTCAGGAATTGATTGATTCTTTAAACCAGATGCTTTGCTTGTGTTTGCCCTGGTAAATATTCTTCCTAAATGTATGCTCTTTGTTCTGTTCTTATAAATATAGATAGGCAGGTAGATCAGTATCATTAGAGATTAAACTTTTGACACTTTTTTGTTTCTTGTGTAATAATGAATATACATCATTGGACAAAGCAACACTACGAAGTAGGTATGATATTTTACCACAGATGTAAAATAATGATGGCAGGAAATTTCAAACTTTTGACTTCCCAATCTATCTATCTTCATTTCTTTGTTTCCTTCCTTCCTTCCTTCCTTCCTTCCTTCCTTCCTTCCTTCCTTCCCTCCC